CATTATTAAACATATTTCACTTGATTTAAATATCTTCAGTTCTTTATTCTCTCTGTGTTAGCTATATGAAGAAATGAGATGATGCTATTGGTAACAAGGAAAATAAAAGATCATTGATACAAAATAAAATTATTATGTATTATCATTCTCAATATGATTCAAAGGAATCGCCATCATATTTTCATAAAAGCGATTGTTGTTGACATTTTATCTTTTTATAACTTCTCAATTTTAAATTAATTTATATCAATGGTTTGGTTGAAGAATTAAATCTGATATTAAAACATGAAATTCGGAAACGTGAATATTTCAATATTTCAGATATAGCTTATTTTAAGTTACGGAACTACCATCCGTCATAATTCTAAAGACTAAGATTTCTGTTTTTTTCCCTCTTTTCGTGTTTTGAAATTCTTCAACATGACATTGCTTTTTGGGTTATTTGTAAAATGTTAATGGGCAAATTCAATGACTTATAATAATGCTGGCACAAAATGGATGATAATTCTAATAGATAAATTAAGGCCTTCATATTTGTACTAGAATCGTGATCGCTATCATTCAGATCCAGCAGCCATTTGGGAGCGTGTCCTTCGCCTTGCGACCATGGTGAAGAGTTAACACAAATGGTTTGGTGAAAGTCCTGAAGCGGTGGGCAATGGGAGAGATAATGCATGCGTCCTGTGTAAATTTCTATTTTAAGAAGTATTAATTCAACCGTGTTGGATGCTGATAGTCATTCGCTTGAAACATTGATTTGCAATCGGAGAATGTAACGGCATTTCTTTGTTTGTTTGGATAAATTGTGAAGATTGCAGATAGGTTGTGTAACTCTGCTTCAAAAGCCATCGCTTCTGCTTCATAATTACTGTGTATCGCTCAAAAGGCATCTCGGAGTTCATCACATGATCACTTTGGATACTCGATTAGTACATATTAGCCCGGATGTTGGGCTTCTTGAAAGAAGCTTGAAAAAAAAAACCGCCGCTTTTACTTAATATGTTTATAAATAATAATATTAAAAATATTATAAATCTATATCAGCCCTGCCTGTCAGCTATAACTTTAAAACAAATTGTTGGGATTAAGTGTCACATCCTTCAGTGTGGTTAACTGGTACACTAACTGGTACACTAACTGTTACATTAACTGGTACACTAACTGGTACACTAACTGGTACACTGTCTTGGAATATTAAATCTAACCTTGGGCGTCAATTCTATGTGTTGAAATGATGTTTAAATTAATTATTTTTTTTTAAAATTAACAATTGCTAAAAGTCCAACGTGAATATTTTTGATTTTTTTTTTTTATTTAAAAAAAATTTTTTTTTTGTTTGTTCTCTAAAAACAACATAAATAAGATAAAAATAAAGAAAGAAGAAAACTTTTTTAAGGCAGCGGTTTCTAAAATTTTAAGCAGGGCCGGCCCAAGGGTTGCTAGAGCCCCGGTCAAGCTTAACTTTGGCGCTCCTTAAAAGTATAATCATACAATTTTGAATGGGTGAATCTCTCATCCGATTAACGTTAGTTGAAAAAAAATTTGCATATCAAGTGTTCCGCATTCTTGTAAGAAATCAAATTAGTTTCATTTTCTGGGAATATCATTTTGGGCGCCTGTTAAGCACACGTTTACAGCCAAACGTACTTACCTTGAGAATAACCCAGGGGTTGCTGGGTGGCCGAGCGGTCTAAACTGTCTCAAACCAAATAGTTGGTGGTCTGGAGTTCAATCCCCACCAAAGCCAACATCCCAAGCACCCCGGGTGGATGGGACTCGTTAGCCCTGGGCGGCAACCCATCTAAGAGAAGGCAAACTCTGAATTTAAACCAGGAGCCAGAATGATCAACACATTGATCGTGGGCCCCTCAAATATAAGAAGAAGAAGAATTATTATTTGTGATTAAAATAATACGTTTGACATTTTCGGTGTGTACACATGACACTTGTGACAGTAAGTGTGACTGTTTGACTGACCCATGTTTTAAGGCGTGTGGGCACTGACTGAGCTCCGTGACCTGATTGTCCGGTGCTGTTGTCATGTTGTCTGACTGGGCGTGGCGAGGTGTTGTCCTGAATGTCTGAAATTGAATGTTTGAAAATTGGTTGGAGAACCGGAGTGGATGTTCATGTGATGTGGAGTATAAAAAGAATGTCGGCGTGAGAATGAAGTTAGTTGTTACACCTACCACAGCCTTGAGTTCATATCTTATTATACTATAGCAATACTAGGCATCAGTGTTCTACAGCAGTGCTTCCCAAAGTGCGGGAATCCCTGGGGTGCGGGAAGAGTTTGGTGGGGGTACGCGTATCCCTGGGGTGTGGGAAGAGTTTGGTGGGGGTACGCGTATCCCTGGGGTGTGGGAAGAGTTTGGTGGGGGTACGCGTATCCCTGGGGTGCGGGAAGAGTTTGGTGGGGGTACGCGTATCCCTGGGGTGTGGGAAGAGTTTGGTGGGGGTAGGCGTATGCGTGGGGTGTGGGAGGAGTTTGGTGGGGGTATGCGTATCCGTGGGGTGTGGGAAGAGTTTGGTGGGGGTACGCGTATCCCTGGGGTGTGGGAAGAGTTTGGTGGGGGTAAGCGTATACCTGGAGTGCGGGAAGAGTTTGGTGGGGGTACGCGCTGCAAAAGAAAAGAAAATACTATTTTTTATTGCTATTAATTATATACATTTTTTAAAACGAGGGCTACTTAGTGTCACGAAATTATGGACATGGGTACACAGCTGTCGAAAGTTTGAGAAACGCCAATCTATTAGAACTATTGAAAGATTAAATAAATTAGAAACGTACCATAATGTTTGATTACGTAACAGTTGAAATTAATTATATTTCGCGCAATTATTAGCCAGGACACTCATATTAATTTTGATTCGATAATCCCAGCACACGTGTGAAGATTAGGTATTTTTGGGATTTGAAAAGCATACCGTCAGCAATTTCCATGTGTCCAAGCAAAGATGCTGGCAAGACGCTTCTTAATCAAGGTTACGATACAGACTTTATCACATCTAAAAGTTTTAGTACTGGCATGAGTTTTGTCAAATAGAGGCAACTACCACCTAAGGACTGGCATGAGTTCTGTCAAATAGAGGCAACTACCACTTAAGTAATGGCATGAGTTCTGTCAAATAGAGGCAACTACCACCTAAGTAATGGCATGAGTTCTGTCAAATAGAGGCAACTACCACCTAAGGACTGGCATGAGTTCTGTCAAATAGAGGCAACTACCACCTAAGGACTGGCATGAGTTCTGTCAAATAGAGGCAACTACCACCTAAGGACTGGCATGAGTTCTGTCAAATAGAGGCAACTACCAACTAAGGACTGGCATGAGTTCTGTCAAATAGAGGCAACTACCACCTAAGTACTGGCATGAGTTCTGTCAAATAGAGGCAACTACCACCTAAGTATTGGCATGAGTTCTGTCAAATAGAGGCAACTACCACCTAAGTATTGGCATGAGTTCTGTCAAATAGAGGCAACTACCACCTACGTACTGGCATGAGTTCTGTCAAATAGAGGCAACTACCAACTAAGTACGGGCATGAGTTCTGTCAAATAGAGGCAACTACCACCTAAGTACTGGCATGAGTTCTGTCAAATAGAGGCAACTACCACCTAAGGACTGGCATGAGTTCTGTCAAATAGAGGCAACTACCACCTACGTACTGGCATGAGTTCTGTCAAATAGAGGCAACTACCACCTACGTACTGGCATGAGTGCTGTCAAATAGAGGCAACTACCACCTACGTACTGGCATGAGTTCTGTCAAATAGAGGCAACTACCACCTACGTACTGGCATGAGTTCTGTCAAATAGAGGCAACTACCACCTACGTACTGGCATGAGTTCTGTCAAATAGAGGCAACTACCACCTACGTACTGGCATGAGTTCTGTCAAATAGAGGCAACTACCACCTAAGTACTGGCATGAGTTCTGTCAAATAGAGGCAACTACCACCTACGTACTGGCATGAGTTCTGTCAAAGAGAGACAACTACCACCTAAGGACTGGCATGAGTTCTGTCAAAGAGAGACAACTACCACCTAAGGACTGGCATGAGTTCTGTCAAAGAGAGACAACTACCACCTAAGGACTGGCATGAGTTCTGTCAAAGAGAGACAACTACCACCTAAGGACTGGCATGAGTTCTGTCAAAGAGAGACAACTACCACCTAAGGACTGGCATGAGTTCTGTCAAAGAGAGACAACTACCACCTAAGGACTGGCATGAGTTCTGTCAAAGAGAGACAACTACCACCTAAGGACTGGCATGAGTTCTGTCAAAGAGAGACAACTACCACCTAAGGACTGGCATGAGTTCTGTCAAAGAGAGACAACTACCACCTAAGTACTGGCATGAGTTCTGTCAAAGAGAGACAACTACCACCTAAGTACTGGCATGAGTTCTGTCAAAGAGAGACAACTACCACCTAAGTACTGGCATGAGTTCTGTCAAAGAGAGACAACTACCACCGAATATTTTAGGTATTTTAGGCATCCGCATGTTACATTTATTAGCAGACTAATAATTTTATTTGAAAAACCAAACAGAATAAAATGTTTTCGTTCAAATGAAAGAGATATCTGTGCATTGATAACGAAAAATAAGACCAACCAATATATTTATATTTTTTAATGTATTAATTCTCATCAAATATTTTAATGTTAGCCAAAAATAAAACTTTAAAAAACCCCACGTGGCACCAATTAAGCTTTTTATTTGTGTTTTAACATAGTCCCAATACGGAAAGATTTCTTTTTTAGCACGATCCAGACTCGAGGTTCATTTTAGTGCAGAATCAGACTCACAAAATTTCTTTCGTGATTTAAAATATTTATTTTTAGGTTTCCGGTTAATTGTGAACATATTAATACCACAATCGCAAGTCACGGAGCAAATGTACTCTATTTAATTTATCCAGGACAAGGTTAAGTTGTCAGGCCTCGCACTTTAATTTAGGACTATTTAAACGGATGGACTCCACAACGTCTGCATCTTTCAAACCAAGTCTTGGGGGAATCAGACGAACATCATGAAATCCATCGCCGTTGTAGCTTTAGCTCTCTTTGCCTGGTAATATCAATAAAAAAATCTATATTAACCGTATGAAAAATATTTAAAGATAATTAATTGTAAAAAAAAAAAAGAAAATGATTTCTCTGAGTCAACAATTGAAACATGATTTCTTTGAGCCGAAAATTGAAACATGATTTCTTTGAGCCAACAATTGAAACATGATTTCTTTTATGTCTTTTGCCGACCAGATTTAAAGTGAAACAGATTGCATAACAGAGTGCTCGTGTAAAGCAGATGATTATGTTCAAAAAGATTAATCAATTTAAGATGTAATTTCAACTAAAAAAATACAACAGCCTCCCGGCGTTAGTAAGTTTGCTACAAACTGAACGCAATTTGCAGAATTAGAAAATATGCAATTTCCGAACTGTTGGCTTTTACGAGACGACCGTAACTGAGACATGAAAACCTAACAGAGGACACTCTGTGGACACTCACAATGGAACATACTTCATACGACAGAGAGATGGGTGATACGACGGACGAAATAAGAAACCTTTCAGACATAAATAAAGGCATATACATTATTCTATTAATCTGAGCTATTTCATACAATGGGCTTAATTTACACAATATTTCATGGAAATAAAATATTTTGTTTTTATTTAAAGCAACATGCGAGCTTTAGCTTCATCGTTGTAAGTCGATTTGAAATATGTTTTAGCTTTTTTTTTTTTTTTTAAGTGAGAAAAAGAGAATGGAAAAATTCCTTTGTTTAAAAACACAATTTAGATTTCTGCCTCAAGAAAATAAAATCATTATTCGATTTCTAACATTTCAGCGTGGTTGCCCAACCAGGAGGTGGCAATGCCAATTTGGACAGAATTTTCAACCAATACGCCGGCAGTGACAACACCCTGTCACAGGCTGAGCTGAACAGATTCTGGCTTCACTTTGATGATAGCGGTAAGTCAGACTATAAAAAAACAAACAATAATCGTGGGAAATAAGGTACATTTATATATTTTGGTTTTCTTAATAAGGGTTTGAAATTTTATATTTGTTTGAATGCAAAGTGATATTTATGACATATTTGAAACATTATTTAACAAATGGTTAATTTATTTTAAAAGTAAAATATTAAACTAAATAAAAAATGTATTTATTTTCCTTACAGGTGACGGTTCAGTGTCCAAACAAGAGTTTGACAGCAGCTGGAGACAAGAGGGATTCCCCAACCCACAAAACGCTCCACTTTTCTTCCTTGAGTTGGACAGAGTAGCTGATGAGGTCCTCAACTCCCAGGACTTTCCCCACATCTTCAGACTCTGGGATGAGAACGGTAAATTTCTTAGGTTTTTTAAATTTTATTTTAAAAGTAAAGTCGAACGTCACTAGAAATAAATCCTTTAAAAAAAAGTAAACTATACAGTATACAAATTTAAAAAAAAATCGGAGGTAAAATTGAGAAAAATGTTTTCTGTAAATCTAAAATAGAACTAACTAGAACATCAGAACAAAAATACGTGATACTCTATACATCTTCATTTTTATTTCTTACAGAAAATTGTTAACTTTTAATCTGTCTTTATGTAAATAATTTCACAAGCAATATGCAATAACCAAAATAAATTTGCTTTAAAACAAGTTTTATGTTATAAAACTAAAATTATCTTCATTGGATTACACAGGTGATGGAACTGTCAGTGAAAGAGAATTCAGATTTAATTGGAACGCCTACTTTGATTAACTCACATAACCATAGAATTGTACCTTGAATTTTTTGTATGATAATTTTGAAATGCATTAATAAACATATTTCATTTGATTTAAATATCTTCAATTTTTTTCATTCTCTGTGGTTAATTGTACGAAGAAATGAGATGATGCTATTTGAAAAGGGAAAGTATCACGGCCATTAATACAAAATAATATTATTTTGTAAGTAAACAAACTTTTGGACTGTTAATATCGGACGTTATATCAATCTAAAACTGTTCATCTTCTGAAAAACATAAGTAAGGGTTTCGATTTAAAGACGTAGCTAGAGACGAAAATAAAAAAAAAATAAAGTAAAGTTTCAACAATTAATTCCGTTTAAATTCTTTAAAAAGTTAAAGGAAAATTGTGAGATTTCTTCATTATATTTTTCATTATATTAAGGGAAAAGTTAGCTAATCTAACTCATACAAGTAATTAATGCTAAATCACGCATTTAATTAAATACGTTATTGAAGACTGAAGAAAAGTTTGTACTAGATTTAATGTCTTTACAATTCTGTTTTGAGAAAAACGATCACAACGTCCATGCTATTGGATGCCCTTAACAACGTCCGGGCTATTGGATGCCCTTAACAACGTCTGGGCTATTGGATGCCCTTAACAACGTCTGGGCTATTGGATGCCCTTAACAACGTCCAGGCTATTGGATGGCCTTAACAACGTCTGGGCTATTGGATGCCCTTAACAACGCCTGGGCTATTGGATGCCCTTAACAATGCATGGGCTATTGGATTCCCTTAACAACGTCTGGGCTATTGGATGCCCTTAACAACGTCCGGGCTATTGGATGCCCTTAACAACGTCTGGGCTATTGGATGCCCTTAACAACGTCTGGGCTATTGGATGCCCTTAACAACGTCTGGGCTATTGGATGCCCTTAAAAACGCCTGGGCTATTGGATGCCCTTAACAACGTCTGGGCTATTGGATGCCCTTAACTGAAAAGCAAGTTTTAGAGAAAAAAACAACATTTGAGCCACTGGTTGACTCACAGAATGTGCCATAATATTTTCGTAAACGATTTTTCTGGACACCTTATCTTTTTATAATATTTCAAATTGACTTTATTTATAGATGGTTTATGTGAAGATTTAAATCTTAAGTCATATTAAGAAAAACAGAAACCTAAATATTCAAATTTTTAATAAAATAAAAGTTAAAATTAAGGACATTAACATTTGTCATACTTCTAAATTCAAAAGAATAAGACTTCTGTCTCGTTTTTTCATTTTTTTTTTGACATTCTCCAGCATAACATTGATTTTTGAGTTGCGCTTAACTTGTAAATTGATAAGCAACTGACCGATTGTCTATGCTGGTACAAAACGAATGTTAATTCTTAAAAAAAAACCAACTGATAAGGATAAATTTAAGCCGTTATATTTTAATTAGAATCATCAATATTATCATTGTTCTAGTATCAGATCTAGCAGCCTTTTGGGAGTGTGCCCTTCGCCCTAAAGCCACGGTGAAGAATTTACACACTCTGCTCAGCTGTTCTTTGTTTGTATGTAAGGTTTTGGTGCAATCTTGTATTTTTAGATTACAGGTAAAGTGTAAACCATGAAGAGGTCACGTGTTACTGTTTTATTTGGGTGCAGAGGCGGCACACTGGTGGTTTTATCTGGTTGTATGGGCTTAAGGTGGGATGTAAGTTGTATGTGTCTTTTGCACATGCGAAAGATTATTTAGGGCAATTTATTGGATCTTGTAGTTCAAGAGGATGGCTCATGGGTGTGAAAACACATCGCGTTAGAACCCACAAACTTTCAATCACACACCGTTTTTTGTTAGTTCTGATAAATTGCTTCGCAGTCTTGAGAGATGTAAGTATATTTTGCTGTTCACTCAATGCTTCCTGTTTTTGGTGATTTGAATGCTCTGCCATTTCCTGGTATATTTTGGTGTTCTGGTATTCATAGAGAGGTTCTCTTGACTGCAAAGGTTTCTAAAATGTTATTTATTTTTATTTTCAGAAGTAGTGATTTTTACTCTTTTTATGAAGCTCATCTGCCTAAAATTTGATGAGGTGCTGGATATGATAACGATATTTCTTTTTTTTTTTTGGCTGTGATAAATTGTGAAGATTGCAGATATGTTTGTCGAGCGATTTCATTAGCAATCACTTCTGCTTCATACAATATTGCAGATCATCGCATTGGGGTTGGAGAGTTTCTCCAATGATCAGTCTGGATATTCGATGCGTACACAAAATGCTAACATTCAGGGCTACTTTGAAAACTGACCCACCAATAAGAACACGCTCCTTTTACAAAGTGTGCTTAAAAAAAAAAATTAAAAATATAAACAAAAAAAATATTATAAATCTATGTCATCAATAATCTATTTCTAGTTTTAAAACAAAACCATGAATCTTGTGGTCAACTTATTCACACACGAGAAGATCGGGGGGGGGGGGAGTCACGGCGTTTATTGGGCCCAAGGTTAAAAATATTATTACTCTATGTCAACAATAATCTATTTCTAGTTTTAAAACAAAACCATGAATCTTGTGGTCAACTTATTCACACACGAGAAGATCGGGGGGGGGGGAGTCACGGCGTTTAGTGGGGCCAAGGTCACACAGCCTTCAGAGCGGCCATCTGGTACACTCCACTATCTTGGATTACTTAATCTAACAGTGGTCATCATTTTTGTTTTTAGATGACGTTTAAACGTTGTTTTGTTTTTTCTTCTGTACAACAACAAACTACCTGGCGCGTGGCTTCTTTCAAAGTCAAACTTTTTTTTGTTTGTTGAAAAGCACAGAAAAAAAAAATATATATATATATATATTTTTTTTTTTAATTTCAAAAGAATCACGAGATACGATAAATAAGTAGACGAATTAAGAAGGGATATATTTAAACGTTCACGAACAGATGTTAAAATATTAGTTCCAAACACATCATCGGACCATAAGAACTTTTTCTATCATATCTTTGAATTTTTTAGACGAAGGAATTTATTATTATTTTTTTTAACAGAAATTATTAACACATTACATTATTGAATACTCTTAAAAAAACCAATTCTTTTTTTGTTTTAAACTGCTTTTTATCATGATCAATGTCTCATAGTATAACTTTCACGTTCATCATCATCATCATCATTATTATTATTAACTAGAATTATCCGCCAAACAGGGGGCAGTGCGTGTACTTCCCGTTTACTAAATTCACTTGAAGAACCATGCATCCAAGTGAAGCACTTTTTTTTTAAAACGATCCATTTTTGCCAACAACCACCGCCTTCTAAGTTCGTTACCGCACCCTCTGATTTCACGCCCCTGAAAATATTACAATTCCTATCACCCCATTTTACACCATATTCAAGTAGAGACTATTTCCTTCACAGAAAAAAAAAAAGTTACGCACCAAACTCACTTGCGAAATTTTTAAGAATGTCATTTAGAGTCTAGTGCCCTGTTCAGGAATTTGAAAATTTTTTTATATTTTTTTGGGCGCTATAGTGAACTTACAGTTACACCACACTTTCTTTCATACCTATCGAATTAGAGGCCTATGTACTAATGATTTTTTTAAAAGCAAAGTCATTTATGCAATACAATAAATAATTAGTAAAAGGCATTGATCACATTTAACTTATGTAAGACGTATCAGAGGCTCTGAGCATGATGCTTTTTAAATCATACGAATTATTGCCACAGATACAGAGTTCAATTATAATTGATAACAAAAGCTTTATGAAAAAGCCGCCTTTAAAAAAAAAAAAAATTATCAGGGTGGTATGGGGGGGGGGCGCGGAGGGTTGGGGGGAGGAACCTTGCCGCCCCCCCCCGGCTACGTAAAAAGCCGCCTTTAAAAAAAAAAAAAAATTATCAGGGTGGTATGGGGGGGGGGGCGCGGAGGGTTGGGGTGAGGAACCTTGCCGCCCCCCCCCGGCTACGCTACTGTCTGCATTGCGTCAGGCCATCCGCTTGAATACTTGAGGCTGGCAGACCTTCGCCACCACCTGGGAGGTTAAATGGCGTTGGAGAGCTCTACGGTAGATGCGTAGGGATAATTTCATGTCATTTCCATTTAAAAAATGTTAGTAGAATGATAAGAAAACATCTAGACTTTGACCTGACGAACAATCTGCAGAAGCGGAACTGAGCACGAAGTTCCCGACATTGAAGAACCAACACAATTGACGTCAACGTTTTGAATTTCAGTTGGATCTAACGGGTCTTAATTATACTTCTAACATGCTTAATATGTCTCTAGTCACTGAAGTTAAGAGACTCGAATCAATTTTTGTACTCTTAAAATATCTTTTGTCTCCACTTTTCTAATATTTTTAACATTTTAATACGCTTAATCACTTAATAACTTGAGTCAATTTTCTAAAAAAAATTAAGACAATAATGAACAATAATTATCTTTGATCACACGTGGCCCAACCCTTGAATCTTGAATTGACACATGTGGTCAACATGCTGGTCGTCAGGTAGCTAAATGATTTAAGGTTGTGGGAAGATAAGAAGATCGTGTCTCGGTTTTAAAACTACAAAAGATGATTTTAAAAAAAAAGTTCTATCGTATTTTACAAGATGAAATCCACTTTACTGAAACAATCAAGTTCATTTGTTACATTCAAATAAACAGTGTGAATAAATTATTTATGAACTTTTATTCCTTTCAAATCATTTTTGTTTCAATTGCCAGTTTTTTTTTTCAATCAACATGTTGTTTACTAAATATACGTGCTTCTTTACACATATCTCTTTGTGGCCTGGGATCAACTGGTGCGCTATTTTCTGATTCCGGAATAAGTCAATAAGTATCGCTTTGTCTACAGAGCCCCCTTATTCATTTAATCGAGATACAAATTGCGATTAAAGAAGACTGCCGTGTTCAGAGCAATGTCGTGCTCGGAAGTATTGGGCCACAATTATTGCAAGGGCAATGTAAATTAATTCAAGCTCCAAGTCAAAATTCGTTGCTTCCCCCCCCCCCCCCCCCCCCCCATTCGGCCATGTCATTTCATAGGTCCTGTTAGAATGAAGTGAGAGTTAGAGTGCAGTAATCTGTGTTCTCTTCGCTCATCGATGCTGAGCTGTACGTGCAGACTTTGACTAGATGACCTGCAAGGTTTTCAATCGGCTCTAAGGCGGAACTAGCCGAGTGCTGAGCGTTATGACCACCTAGTCGACAAATTACCAACTTATATCAGGTTTTAAGCCCTTCTTAATGCGGCCACGCCGTGGACTAGCCTTATATTTGACACCTCACTATTTAGTGCACTATGTTCAATTGTTTTTCTATTTCAGGCATTTGAAATAAATAACTTATAATCACTGTACTCCTCATGTCTTTTTTTATTCGGTACAATTTTAAATTAAAGCAAAAATACTTGACGACATTAACTATTTTAAAATAATATATCGCTTTACAATCTTCTGCTCACTTTAAGGGAAGACATTACGGGAGATAACATGAAGGATATTATAAGTCTTCCATGTCTGACACTTCATCTATACCATACGTCTAATTAATTTATGGCGCAGTGTAAGCCAAAATTAATATCTGACCCGCTCTAAAAGTTTTTTTTTGGCTTTTGAAAATATGTTCACAGATGTGTGAAGAGACGTGCAAGCGGAGACTTTGTGTGGTGTACCAGGATGTGTGGTATACCAGGATATGTGGCGTACCGGGATGTGTGGTCTTATCCCTAAATTGTGTGGTGTACCAGGATGTGTGGTATACCAGGATATGTGGCGTACCGGGATGTGTGGTCTTATCCCTAAATTGTGTGGTGTACCAGGACGTGTGGTATACCAGGATATGTGGCGTACCAGGATGTGTGGTCTTCTCATTTTTCTTCCTCAGTTGCCAGCAATCATCCCACCTATGACCCTCTATTTACAATAGACACGTCCATGGTGCCTGTCTGGTTTTGTGTCAAATTGGCTCTTGGGGAATGGATCTGAGGTGGCGAAGTCGTCAGCTAAAACTACTGCGGTGTGCACATCATCTTCGTCACGGCATTCAGTATGTGTCCGTGCGACCACCTCCATCGGTAGAAGGTTCTGGAATATATTGAAGTCTGTGTCGATGTTCTTTGCGTGAAAACGCCACTTTTACAGGAGTCGTTCCTTAGTCGAAGAAACTTAAATAATTCCCACACACTTTTTTTGCGGTACGCTTCGGGGACACATTCATACGCCTTAAGTATTAATGATTTAACAAGCTTATAATTCCCTAACTATTCAAAGTTCAAGGTTACAAAAACGTCGGCTGCCCGACCAATCAGAGCGAGCAGGCTGAATTCAGGTAGACGAAAGATTTTCTGGTATTTTAAAATTATGTAATGTAATTTCAAACAGTTCAAGAGACAGGTCAATATTTTTTTCAGCAAATTTAGGGATTACAAATGCATCATAACCCTGACTGGTGGTAGCTTGGATCCATTTGCATTGCATTGTGATTGCTTATAATCTCCATTACTTTTAATTTGATGAGTAACTTCCTGTGTAACTCTAGTTTCATTTGCTTGAGCTCTCTTGTTTTCGATCTCCATTTGCTCTCTTTATGATCTCTCTAAAGCATTGCTTGAGCTTTTGTTGGAGCTCTGTATTAGAATCATTTTGCCGGATGACTTTTGTAAGATAATCCTCAGACAACAGACCTTTCTCAGATAACGGATCATCATCAGACAACAGATCATTATCAGACAATATCTTCCTCAGACAACAAATCATCACCAGACGACAGGTCATAATAAGACAATATCTTCCTCAGACAACTGCTCATCCTCAGAAGATAGATCATCCTCAGACAACATATTATCCTCATAAAACGATCATCATCATCAAACAACAGATCATCCTCAGGCAATATCTTCCTTAGACAACAGATCATTATCAGACAACAGATCATCATCAGACAATATCTTCCTCAGAAAACAGATAATCCGCTGACAACAGATCATCCTCAGACAACAGATCGTCATCATACAACAGATCAGCCTGTGACAACAGATCATCCGCAGACAACATATCATCCTCAGACAAAAGATCATCATCAGACAAAAGATCATCCTTAGACAACAAATAATGCTCTGACAACTGATGTTCATCCACTTCTTCTTCTATATCTTAAGGGCCCACGATCAATTTATTGATCATTTTGGCTCCTATGCATGTAGATGGGATTTGCAATGTTTCTGTTACTGGTGGTGATGAGGAAATTATGCACTAGGGGTTTGAAGGCTTGAGGCAATAGACACAAATGTGTCTAGTGTTGTCGCCTCAACTGTTCCATTTGAAAGATGGTTCCAGTCCCTGATTGTCTTGGGCAGGAATGAGCAGCTCCTATACTGGCTTCTTGCTGGTATGAGCCTAAATTGCCTGTCATGGCCTCGTCGCTATCTATGGGGGAGAGGGACGAGTTTCTGTTTAATACTGGACGATGATCAAATTTCTTACAGTCTAATGACTACTCTTACTACTCCTTATTTGTTTAAATTTGAAAAAAAAACGTTCTGAGAAAATTTGTCGAATGCCTCTATTGATGGGTTGTTTACATCAAAGTCCACTTTGACTCATGGAAATTGTAACAGTATGAGTTATACATTTACAGGGACATTTATAAAAACGTTTAAAAATATAACTACCATTGGTTCCGATCTCGTTAAATGTGATAGGCACCCACGGTGGTGAAGCTAGGATTGGTGTCACCCGGTGCGGTAAACTCACGGTGTCGATATCCACCCCCCCCCCAATCGACTTCCACGATAGTTTCTTCTTATTAATGTAAGTCCACAGAATACAAATGTTTTTAATTTTTTACCTATTCGATTTATGCACTTAGAATCACCCGACCAAATCGTATTTGGTATCAATATAAAGCTTTATTTCTGAGAATTTTGATAAATGCGATGATGACTGAATACTTTTATACCGCTTGTGTCCATACTATATTAGCATGCTCACAGCGAATTGATGTTAAAAATGTTAAAAGAAAAAAGTCTTTAAGGGTTTCTTAAATGATTTTTAAAAAAAAATTATGTTCAATTTCCTTCAAAGATTGAGGCCAAATATAGCTTCCTGTCACATACGAAAGACACCAAACATTTCATTCGCGTTGAATCATGGTCAAAAACGGTGTTTTACTGACCTAATTTTAGGGTCACCTTATTTCTGAAGCATCAAACTTGAACTTTTAATAAAGCACTTAATTGGATTGGTTACATGTGTGAAAAATTTACGTGTGATCGGTTATCCTTTTATGAAATTCTTTTAAATCCAGCAGTATGTGTTCAGTAAATATGCAATTTTTCAAATTTTTTGCCACCCCCCCCCAAACCTTTGAGATGGTGTAACCCGTTGCAGTCCACACCCCGCCCACCCCCCCCCAGCTACGCCACTGGGACACATGTGATACAATGATTTTTTTTTTCTTGTGCTGCTCTCTCCGTTTGTTAGTTTCCTTAAATCTTGCACCTCAGGTTTGACCCATTAACTGATCTCCAACTGAGCTGAAATAACGAACATTGCGTTCAAGGCCTTCCAGCGAGTGTATGGCACCAAAACATCCCTACCACCACCCCCCCCCCCCCCCCCCAAAAAAAAAAAACACCAAAACACGTTTTCACCAAAAGTGGAGTCACGTTGACAGGGCTGATTAACTTAAAGCTCAACAGAGTGCACATTTTACTATGACTTTTTCTCTCCTGAGTCACCTTTACATGTATGACCCCATCGTTGGTCACACCTTCATATATAGAGTCAAACAGTTCTCGACTGCGGTACCTTTTCAAAACATCATCATGAGAAACATCATCGTTGCGGCTCTTGCTCTCTTTGCCTGGTAGACAGTAAACTTTTTACAATTTTAGGTTTTTGCAGAATTGTCATAAAATATGATTTCAAAGTTATACATTATTTATTGCCTCATTTATTTTTCACTTACTTATTGAGATATTAATATATTATGATTACTATTGACAAATTGATGTTCAATTATTTCTCCTTTTATGTAACTAAATTTTAATTATTTTTAAAAATAAAACGAAGTGTCATAATTTTTTTTTTTAAATATCGTAGTTTAAAAAAAAAAAAGTAAAAAATATATTGATTATCTCAAATTCATCAGTTTTCTCTTTAAATATTGAAGCGTGGTGGCTCAGCCAGGAGGTGGGGGTGCCAATTTGGACAGAATTTTCAACCAGTACGCTGGCAATGACAACCAACTCACAAATGCTGAGTTGAACAGATTTTGGCTTCACTTTGATGATGACGGTAAGAACATTTTATTTACTCATCCTTAGAAAGGTTTATATCGGTTAAAATATTTGAATCGTTATTTTTTATATCTTTTAAAATATTAGTTTGAAGTCTTTTTGAAATTTCCAACGCCAAGTCATTAGATCAAAACGAAAAAAAGATACAACATAACAACGAAGAAAGGGTTTAGAGCATATATGTAGAATGATAATTATAAGATAAAGATATCGTTTGTATATTACTGAAATTAATTATATTACCAATGACATGGATATGAATAAAATGGTGCGCTATTTTGAATAGGCGACAATAATGCCATCAATAAAAATGCGGAGTTAATCTCTACCGACAGTGAATGACGGTAAACATCTTTGTTTAAGGTGACGGTGCAGTCTCCAAGCAAGAGTTTGACAGCAGCTGGAGACAAGAGAATTTACCCAACCCACAAAACGCGCCACTTTTCTTCCTTGAGTTGGACAGAGTACCTGACGAGGTCCTCAACTCCCAGGACTTCCCACACATCTTCAGACTCTGGGATGAGAACGGTACGTTTTGTTTGTTACATTTTTTTTTTTCTGTTTCCTATTCACTGCTCATCATCCAATAAATCTAAACACCACGGACTTAACAATACTAATTTTATTCGATGCAGAATCAATGTTGACTATTTTATCGTTCAATTTTGCTTAAGAAGAAACTGGTTGAAAAACTTCATAGCATAAACTTTAATATTTGAAAAAAAAATGTATTACTCTTCCTGTTAGCTAATTAAGTCCAAGTTATATTAGATCAGATCATTTCAAATATATATTCAAGATAAGATAATATTCTTTTTTCTTATAAATAAATGGAAATGTTTTTGATTACATTGTATATATACATTTTCATTACATAAATAAAAAAAAATTTATAAATTTATAACCAAGGCAACCTATTACAATGATAATAATTTAAACACAAGACATGTAAATATTTCTCTAGAGTAGAAATCAGCTATAAGTTACTCCTTTAGTGACACTAATGACTTTATTAGTGATAATTTAGATTTGATAATCGCTGGGGGAGCTGTCGGTCCTAACTTTAAGAGAAATAATTCACCCTTATCGAGCTGATCTTTGGTATCTGTGATTAAGTGGGTGTGATGTATCAACCAAATTATTTTCAGTTTTGTAACAACATTTTTCTTCAAATAGTTCTTAAAGTAGTTTAATGTTTGTGCTTTTATTAGTCTTTTGTATCGGTATTTGATGTCAGACAATGAATTCCCACATCAGCAGGCAATACTGAATTATAGTAAACTTCCAATCGCTGTACTGTAGAATTTGTTGCTAACTTGTTTATTTACGACGAAATTGTAAAATTTTTTAAGATAGACAATTCTTTGGTTGACATTTTTATACAGCATTTGTCCATATGTATATATATATATATATGAAATCTAATTTATGTGCTTATTCTTGAGGGCACAATTTCAATTAAGCAGCAACGTGAGACATGGGCGGCCGCAGGTAGGGGCAAGGGGGGGCACTTGCCCCCCCCCCCGGGATTGATTGGATACAAATTTTTTAGACAAAAATAGACAAGAAATTTATTAAAGTAAAGAGAAAATAAAGAGAAAGTAACTAAGCTGATGTCCTATCCGTTCGTTCACCATGCAAATACGCTACAGTAAATTAAAACTACATTAAAACATTACTAAAAATTTTTTGCCCTCCCCCCTGGAAAGTCAATCGATTTTTGTTGCCCCCCCCCCCGAAAGTTTTCTGCGGGCGCCCAAGACGTGAGGTGCTCTTTTTTTCTAAATACCCGCTATTACAAATAGCGTGGAGAAGGTTAAATGTTTCTACAAATAACTTTGAAAGGCGTTTTTTTTCAAAAATATTTTTATTACAAAATTAAAATAAAAAGTGTTTCTGTGTCCGTGTTAAAAATCAGAAGACATCATTTGAAGCGTGAACAGTTTACATGAAAAACTTAATCTTTGAGTAATCTTCCTTCAATCTAATCATGGAACAGTAAATACAAATCTTTTTCTGTTACCATAAAATTAATGAGATACAGTGTAAAAACTGCCATGTTTTCGATGACGTATTTGAGCTTGATATGAATAGTTCAAACATTCTTTCCTTTGCAGGTGATGGATTCGTCACCGAGAGAGAGTTCAGATTCAACTGGAACGCCTACTTTGATGATTAAATAAATAAAAGCAATGAAACTGTGATTTTCTTTAAATGTTAAATATTAAAAAAGTAATATAAAACTGTTTTTGTTATGTACACAATTTTTGATTTTTTTTTCACTGTATACTTTGTTTTATAAATTGTTTTATATATTTACATCTTCAAAATTGTTGAAAGGAAAAGTCAAATTTTGATGAAATTAAATAATATACGTTTATCATTTCCACTTCCACCTTTCCACCTCCACATACAAAAAATGCTGTTAAAGAGGAAAAAAAGATTATGTTATTACCATCAATGTAAAAACTTGTGACAAAATATAAAAGAAGACATATAAACCTATTTGCTGAATAAAAATACGACTTAATTTAAGCATAAAATAACCAGATAAAAAGATCAAGTAAAATAAAATAAAAATATTATGGAATGAATATTTAAATTCCCACATTTATCAATTAAATGTGTGTTCTTAAAAATATATGTGTTATAAATGCTATGGTCGGCTGTTTTAGCCATAAGCCCCAGGTTTCATTTCCTGGGCAACATAAGAGAAAATATGAATCCAATGCAAGACAACATAAAACGATCTCATAGCACATGTTCATATATCATCCTAACAAAAAAATAAATAATTTCATTTACGCACAAATCCGCGATCTTATCTATGTAGTTTTCTTGACTATTTCTTTCTTGATCACTGAAACATGGTTTGTGGTAACAGGTTTGTTACTGCATTTTGTCACATCTCCTTAACTTATGCACAGAACAAAACAACATATAATGTGTCCTCGTTTTGCACATGCCTCATGCAGAGCAAACGGTTGGAAACAATTTAGGTACACAATCCAGACGACAGATTTTCATCCACTAAGTAAAAAAATATAAAAAAATAATACTTACTGTCTTTTTGAAAAGTTAAATGGACTACTACTATTCCTAAATTTGAGGAAGGGAAAATAACTCTTTTGAGGACATTTTTATAATGCTTCTACCGATGTGTGTGTATTTTTTTTTTACACCGAAGATGAGTTGTTTAAACAGGAAAATGATAAAAGTATGAGTGATACTTTTGCAGGGACACTTGCAAAAACTTTTACAAATTAACTTCTTCGCAGGTCGAAATCCACAAGGCCTGGGATCATTCTTTAGGATTATAAGCTGGTTCCCAACAGCAAATCGACTCTCTTCACGCAACTGGATAACCCAAGGGAACAACATATGGATGATACAACTTGGCACCAGTGACGTCGCAGGAGCTGAAGAAATGTTTCATTGGACAAATGTTATCCGCCTAAGGGACTCCATCTCCGGGTTTTGAATTCAGAGTTTCGTTCTCTTAGATGAGTTGCCATCCAGGGTTAAGGGGAGAGACTGCGATCAGGTTAGCAAAATAGGTATAGAGTAAAACAAAGTAAGACACAATTCTTTTGCTGCCATCTGGATACTACTGCTCAGCTCATTGCTATTAAAAAAAAAAATATATATATTTTTCTGTTTCTGTTTTGCTGACGAGGACTTCCTGCCGGCACGTTCGTTTTTTCCATTTTTTTTCAGGTTTGACCTTGCTTTGTTTTACGGTTAACAAGTCCAATCCACTTGAGCTGTTGATGGTGTAGTTTCTTGATTGGACTTTGGGGCTTGAACTCCAGACCATGAACTTGAGATTTCTTCAGTTTAAGCCACGTGGCTACCCAGCTAACAGCTATATTTATTATTATACGATGGATAAAATAATCAGATGAACCACTAATCTGTAATAGGTTAAATGAGAAGAAATGCGCAAAATACGAGGTCAAGCCGTTTTTTTTTATTCGGATCGTTATATCGTTTTACAAATTGAATATTTTTTAAAGATTTGGCTCGTTAGATGAACAAAACGCAACAAAGTACTGAAAACCAGTAAATAAAGAAAGAGGATGGCAAAGTTGTGATGCTAACACTAATCAAGTTAATGACACTAATAAGTTGATATAAAAATACGACATCAAATATTAAGAAATAAAAACTATACTAACTTACGGCACAGCAAGTGAAAAAGTATAATATTAGAAAACTACAAATATTATTCACAACATACACCCAATGAAACGTGTTGCATGTCTTATTTGGCTCCTTTAAATTTGGCAAGTCTCGAAAATGCCTGCCGGTCAAAGTCAACCGTCGTATTTATATAAAGGGGGTCAGAACCCAGCAGAAGAGAAAGTCTAGAAATCAAATCGCCAGAGAATATTTATACTTGATGTTTTATAATATAGATTCTGCTGGAAACGTAAAAAAAAAACCCTTTCCCAATCAAGTGCAATGGAGGAAAGAAGTGTCAGAGTAAATTGGTGACATTAGTAAAAAAAAAAAAAAAAAAAGAAAAAAACAAAGGGGGGGGGGGGGTAATGTTGCATGACACGGCTCGAAACCACGCAGGGTTAAAAAAAAATGGTCAGCACCCTGGATGCTAGTGTGGATGAACACCAGAGGCGCAGCGAGGGTGTTTGGCGACCGGGGACAAGTTTCGCGCCCGGGGACAAGATCTATTTTATAGCGCCCTTTTTTTCTTTTTTTTCAACTCTCAAACCCATTATTTTCATCAATAAAATAATATCAAAGCACATTTTGGCGCCCTTAACTAGCTAGCGCCCAAGGACATCTGTCCCCCCTGCCCTCCCCTCGCTACGCCTCTGATGAACACAGAAAAAAGTCTTAAGGAGTGCGCTCTTTTGAAGCGATAGCGCCAAAATTATGGAACACTTTGCCTCAATTTTTGAAGGGAATTGAAAACGATAAAAATCATTTAAGAAACATTAAAAAAAACTTTTTTGTTAAAATAGATTTCGGACAACCAGAGCACAGTCAGCCGTGCTAACGTGGCATGGACACCAGCGCGATATAAATATCCAATCAATCAATCAATCAATAAAACAAGTATTATACCTTACATTTTTAAAATAAAATTAACGAGCCTATCGCAGGCCTTTGTTAGGTATATTTCGGAAAATATTTCAGACTTAAATTGTGTTTCTAGATGTCAACGTTTGAAAAATCATTCGATTTTGAAACGCTGGTATATTCTATATAATAATATACAACACATCTTCTTCTACGCGCCTAGACTACAATGAAAATATATTTTACGAAAATGGTTCGAGATAATATTTCCTAAACAAAACACCCACAACTGTTTCCCAATATTTATTGAGATATCTTTAACATTGACCGATGTTTAAATAAAGCTGTATTAAATAAAAATTTACCCAAACTTTTGCCTCGATCCTGAACTATGCTCCGGAAAATCGTAAAAGTAAATGATTTCGTTTTTCTAAGGAAGAACCATTTCAATTTTAACTTTTGTAAAAGCTTTGAACTCTTAGAAATATCCTTAATCCCCAATTTTTTTTTTTACCTGCCCTTGCTTGTCTCTAAACTGTATTTTCACAAAATGGAGAGCTAAACATCCGTATCTTTAAAGTTGTTAAATCATGTTTCCCCTTTTACAACAGCATTGTGTTTTAAGAGATTTGTATATTCTTACTTGAATTTTTTTCACAAATGTGTCCACGCCCATGAACTGTATTTCAGGGAAATGCGCAAACAAAACTTGCATCTATTTTTAAAGAATACACTTCCACGACTGTGGAATCATCGTTTTTTAAAGATATTGTATTCATATAAAAATTTGGAAACCTTTTTTCTTTGCACCGGGAAAAAGTATTAGCGCGCAATGTTTACACTGCATTTTTAAAAGAGTGTATCAAAATAACTTTTTTTTGCATCTGTAGCAGTGTGGGTTAAATTTGTACTCAAAAGGTATACAATTAATATCATCCAGAGATGCTACAATCTTTTGACTAATAAACTATTTAAACAATCCCTAAACAACCCTTAAAAGCATATTTTATCGTATAAATCCTTTATAAAATGTAATATAGAGCAATTTGGGAGGGGGGGTGTGAGGCTGAAAATTTGACATAACATGGTAACAAGTAACGCACTTTATAAGAATCCCAAATAGTGGTCCCCCCCCCACCCCCCAAAGGCTCGCAACTTCACAATTTTCCCGCTCCCCTGAGCTACTCTAATGACACACCCACTTTTACACCGCAGATTTATTTCACCAACCATTTCAGAAAATCAAAGAAAATATTACGCACCAAACGCGCTGGAGATATTTTTGTTTTAAGAATCTTATTTAGGGCAGTTATTGGGGGGATTTTCCTTCATGATCCTCTAGAAAAGCAGGAAAAACTGATTTTTAGGGTTTTGGGTTTGGAGGGATTTGGGGTGAAAATTTGAAATACTGTGTTGTCATCGTCAACGAATCTATTTGCCTAGTTAGCTCGACAGCTTGACGGGAAGTGAATTAATAAGTCGTCCGACGATTTCGACTATCCACCCCCCCCCTCCGCCCCAAGCCCGTCACGAACGAAATAAAGCGACGTTAATATAAAGGATTTTTAAAAATGGGTTAGGTGCCAATGACATGCAATGATGTGGTAGGCCCTTTTCTTAGGTTGCTCTGTCCATTAGTTAGCTTGTGTGTGGTCAAATTTCGGACCCCAGTTTTGACCCGTTTACTTATCTCCAATTAAGCTTAAGTAACGAACTTTGAGTTCATGGCTTTCCAACGATTATTTGACATGAAACAAATTTTTTCCCCCCAACACGTTTTAAACAAAAAATTTGTCACTTTGATAGCATATGCCCTGATTAGGTAAAAGTCAACAGCGTGCACACTGTTTCATTCCCTTATTCTCCCAGTAGTTATCTTGACATGTCATGACCCCCATATGTGGTCACACCTGCCTATATATAGTCAAACAGTTCACGACAGCATTACCTTACCAAAACATCATCATGAGAAACATCATCGTTGCAGCCCTTGCTCTCTTTGCCTGGTAAATAGTGACTTTTTAAAAATGTATTGGCTATTGCAGAATTGTCATAAAATATGATTTGAAAGTTATACGTTTATTTGAATCAATTGATTTTATTAGTCACTTATTGATTGGAATATTTAATGAAACATGATTACTATTGTCAAATCGATGTTCAATGATTTCTAAATTATAAATTTTAATCATTTTTAATGTCAAATAAAGTGTAATCAGTTAAGAACGTTAAGTTAAACAACTATAAAGAAATTCTCCTAAATTATTTAATTGTCTCTTTAAATTGAAGCGTGGTGGCTCAGCCAGGAGGTGGGGGTGCCAATTTGGACAGAATTTTCAACCAGTACGCCGGGACTGACAACCAACTCACAAATGCTGAGTTGAACAGATTTTGGCTTCACTTTGATGATGACGGTAAGAACGTTTAGTTTTCTTAAAACTGGCAAGTTTTGCATAGATCGAGTCTGCCCCACATTAAATCTAATAAAAATTTTCAACACTTAAACGTTAGATTTAATTCGGGGAAAAAATTTAAAAAATCATAACCATGAAAAAAATAAAAAGGTTTTGAACATATATCCACAACGATAATTTAATATTTTAAAAATACCTTTTGTATGTTATTATGAAATACATATGACCTAATTATGCATAAAAAGCCCCATTATTAAAATAAAAACCGAGAATTAAAATAAGAATATTAAAGTAAATATAAATTATAATTTTTCCTTACAGCTGACGGTTCAGTGTCCAAACAAGAGTTTGACAGCAGCTGGAGACAAGAGAATTTACCCAACCCACAAAACGCTCCACTTTTCTTCCTCGAGTTGGACAGAGTACCTGACGAGGTCCTCAACTCCCAGGACTTCCCACACATCTTCAGACTCTGGGATGAGAACGGTACGTCAGTTTTGTCAGGGGTGTCTGTCTTTACTTTTAACCGTAGTGTTCCATACAGGCTCGAAGTTAAAAATTTTATCGATAATTTAAAAAAAAAATAAATTTAAAACTGATAAACCTCAATGCATTACCTTAAGTACATGAAAACAATTATTCTCCCTATTAGCCTAATGTTAAGGGATCATGCCGTCGGATTCCTGTTATTTAAACATCTCGTTATTAAGAGATATCTATAATTTCTCTGCCAAAACTTGCAGTCACAAATTCAAAGAAGCAGCAAAATACAAAAAAAAAAGAAAAAAAAAAACAAAAAAAACTTGTCGTACTTTTCTTTGTGCTCGCATATTAAAATTATTTTTGCTTGGGTAAGTTAAAATGCTTTTCCAAAGACTTTGAAAAGAGTTTTATCAAAATAATTGTTTTTAATGTATTTGTTATACAGAATTAAAATTAAAAAAAAAAATGTTTCTATGTGACTCTTAAAAATCAGAAAACATCGACAACAGGTGAAATTAAAATCGCAAGCCTCAAGTTTATTCCTTCTATCTAACAATGGAATATTAAATACAAGTCTATTTCTGTTACTTTAAAATTAATGAGATACAGTGTAAAACCTGCCATGTTTTTAGTGACGTATTTGAGCTTGATATGGATTAGTTCAAACATTCTTTACTATGCAGGTGATGGATTCGTCTCTGAGAGAGAGTTCAGATTCAACTGGAACGCCTACTTTGATGATTAAATAAATATAACAATAAAGCTGTGATGTTTTCTTATATTAAAAATGTTGATCAGTAATATTCAACGTTATTTTGTTATGTATAAAAGTTGTGTTGTTTTAATTGTGTGCTGTGTATTTTAAATTGTTTAATATATTTACATTTTCAAAATTATTTTAAAGGAAACTTAAAATGTAGTGAGCACAAATAATGTATGCTTATGATTTTTACTTTTATTCAAAAATATGCTTTTAACGAATGTAAAATATTGTGACTAAATATAAAAGAAAGCATAGATATAAACTTATTTGTGGCGATAAAATACGACTGAATCTGTGAGATAATAAAATGATACATGCATTTACAGCATACGATAACGACATAAACAACAATATACAAAATATACATTTAAAAGAAAAGTATTTAATTCCCCACATTTTTACATGAACTAATTTAATACTTTTTGTGTCATCATCAATAATATGAGAGTATTATGAATCCTATGGGTGTTTGTTTAAGCCATAGGTGCCTCACATTTCACATACTGGGAAACATAAGAAAATATTAACTCAATGCAGCACAACATACGACGATGTTCATATGTCATCGTAACACAAAAAATAATTTCCTTTACGTACCTATCTGAGATCTCATCTCTACGTACTTTTCTTTTAGAGTTCTTCCTTGTTTACTAAATCATTGTTTATAGTGACAAAACACCATATAGTCTGTCCTGGTATTGCATATACCTTGTAAAGAGAAAACGTATGGAACATTTTCAAGGCAAAATACTCAGGCTTTAACCCGAGCCCCTAATAATTTCCTTTTTAAAACATTTTTAAAACAAAACATTTTTCAAAGATATTATGTGATATCACGATACGTGTTAGGAACTCTTAATAATGTGAACTAAACCATGCTCAAAAACGTGCCTAACATAGGGACTAAGCCATGCGCAAAAAGTCATTGAAGGACCTACTCCTATACACTGAAAAAAAATATATCAGTCGCCTTATGGGTACCTTTACCATCAAAGAGGGATTCACATTTTTTGGTACCAATTTTAGATTTGTGATTTTTATTATTTAGGTGAATCGGAGAGGGGAGTATCTGATAGGTTCAAAGAATATCTTCATGATAGCGAACAAGACAAGCTATCCCCGTTCTCAACCCATTTCAACGGAGGTTAACACAAAGGCACCTGAGATATATCCACCGTTGCCCTAATTCACAGCGAGAGTGAAGAATGGAAACAAATTAATTCAAATTTTCCGCACCATAAATCAATCATATGGAATCAACAAAATACTCTCTAACTAGCGGCCTTCAATTTTATTTACCCACACTTCTGTTCTTATCTTATTTCTTAAATTCTCTCTATATTTTATATATTCTATGTCGGTTAAAATCTTAGATGTTACATTGTGGATGCCTAAATTATTTTACATCCTTTAATCTTTTGGACAGTGCACTTGTTTCTGTTTTGACAACCTAATTTCCGTCCACAATTTATGACTTATGCTTCCACCGTTTCTCTACAACACGGAGAACTTCAGACACTTACATTTCTTGAACTCATTTCTATTTCTTTGTTGTTTCTTGTTTTGTCCTGTCTGCTGATCAACTCTTTTAGTCGAAAAGTTATATTTGTAATGTCCTATCTTCTCCATTTTAAGCTTCAACATACCTTGTTCAACATACCTTGCTCGACATACCTTGTTCAACATTCCTTATTCCATTATTTCCTTCAAGAGCAACTAGATCGGCTGCTTCCTAATGTTATTGCATCGCTGCACTCCTCTCAGTTTCCAAAATTTCTTGCACCCCCACCTACGGATAATGATAGCCCCATCTGAAGATTGCAGAGGAGAGTTACAATCAATCACATGTTAGTACGGTTTCCGGCACTTTCATGTTATTAAAGAAAAAAAAAACCGAAACCGAAACAAAAAAAAAAGCAAACAACTAATGTCTAAATTGTGCAGAAGTGTGACATATTCTTAGCCTTTTTAGCTCATGAAAATATAATCACTACAAGGCGCTCAAGCAATAAATGACAAGCTATCTCAGGCGCCTCGAAGCAGATGCGGTACATTTCTGATGATTACCCCGATAAAGATAGCTACAAGTTTTACAATATTTGGCTATCATCAGAAATTTGTATTTGCAACTAGGTTTCCATCAACGGTTGCTACTAGTTTAACAATACTTGGCTATCATCGGAGAATAATATCGGTAATTAGGTTTCCGGAAACTTTTGCGTTTGCTTCCGTCCAAAAAGTGTTTTCTTTGCGTTTGTAGGGTCTGTCCACGCATTAAAAAAACGAAGTGGCTATTCGGACCCGGCTACCGGAAGGGAGACGTTGGCATTCAAAATTATTACAAATATTATTTTTGAGTTCGTAAGATAAACTTTGGTATCGAATGATAGATAATTGAATGAACTGTATATTTGTAAACTTAATTCTTTGTGATAGTTTATTTTAGTTAAACTAAAGAATTAAGTTTATAAACATATAGTCTATTTACTTATCTTTGATTCAATACCAAAGTTTTATCGTACAAACCCTACAATAATATTTTAAAGATTTTTTTTAATAAACCCAACCTCTCACTTCTGATACCAGGTCCGAATAGCCGCATCCTTAAAAAAAAAATAATAACGGATGTGGGATTGTAGCCATATTTTTCCCCAGTACATTTTATTGCGATTCACCATTTCATTTCAATAATCTTTAAAATTATAAACTTTTCCATTTAAAGAGCAGTTTAGAGTTTATGATGGTATTATATCAATTTTAATACGTTTTTGCTGTGGTTTAAATAAAAAAAATATTTTTTTTTCTTTTTTTTTTTAAAAATTAAAAACTTGAGGTATTTTCAGCTCATACATAATATGAATAATTTCTAATCTTTAAATTAAATACAGATGGCCTCGTAGCACGTACATTATTTGCTATAAAGATAAGTTCACATTATTAAGAGTTCCTGGCACGGATCATGATGGCACATATAATCTTTGAAAAATGTTTTGTTTAAAAAAAAAGGAAAATATTAGGGGGTGAGGTTCAGGCCTGAGTTGTCTTGAAAATGTTCCATACTTTTTCTCTTTATGACGTATTTACAATACCAGGACAGACTATATGGTGTTTTGGTATGTGCAGACGTTATGGAAAATGTGGCAAAATAAAGAAACAAACCTGTCACCATCAACAATGATTTAGTGAACACGGAAGAACTATGCAAGAAAAAGTAAATAGATATCAGATTTGTGCTTAAATATATTATTTATTGTGTTACGAACATGCTCTCTGACATCGTGGTTTGTTGTGCTGCATTGAGTTAGTATTTTCTTATGTTTCTTATGTGAAACGTGAGGCCTATGGCTAAAACAGCCTTCCATAGGATTTAAAGTACACATTTTTTATATTACACAACAGTCTTTGAATTATTTAATGTATAACCTAGGGTAACTCTATATACACGTATATAAATTTAAAAATGTATATTTTGTATCCTATTGTTAACTAGTTAACCTATACTTAATATGCACTTATCATTTTAACAGCTCAAAACTTCAGTCATTTTTTTCTCTACCAAAAGGTTTACGTCCTTGTCTTATTTTTATTTTTATTTTGGAACAATTTTTACATTGATGGTAATAGTAAAAGGTTGTCTTTTCCCTCGTTATAGCAAATTTTTGAATAAAAGTAAAAAGTATATATATATATATATATATATTATATGTTCACTACATTTAAAGTCTCCTTCAAAATAATTTTGAAGATGTAAATATATTAAACAATTTAAAATACACAGCACACAATTAAAAAAAACCACAACTTTTATACATAACAAAATAACGTTGAATATTACTGATCAATATTTTTAATATAAGAAAACATTACAGCTTTAGTGTTATATTTATTTAATCATCAAAGTAGGCGTTCCAGTTGAATCTGAACTCTCTCTCAGTGACGAATCCATCACCTGCATAGTAAAGAATGTTTGAACTAATCCATATCAAGCTCAATTACGTCACCAAAAACATGGCAGTATATTACAGACATAGACTCTTCTTAACTCTTCCATTGTCAGTATGAAGGAAGTAACTTAAGGATTAAGATTTTAAATTGTAATTATGATGGTTCAAGTGTTGTGTTCTGATTTTAAACACACTCACAGAAACACTTTTTATTTTAATTTTTGTTTAGTTAAATAATTTTAAAAAACCATTTTGATAAAAATCCTTTCAATTTAATTTAAAGAACATTGCAAGTACTCCACCCAAATCCCATTTTTGTCCTTACGCTCAAAATGCCAGTGCAAAGAAAAGCACTTTATTATTTTTTAATTATTTTTTTTTACTAATTATTTCAAGCAACATTTGCAAAATTAGGCATTAATAAATTAGCTGTTATTTGTCTCACCTAATGATAAAATAACAAGAACCCAATTACACGATCCATTAACGTTGCGCAATATTTAGTTAAGAAGAATAATACTTATTTTTCAAGTAACTAAGGTTATATTTTAAAGTATTTCAGTCAGTTTTAATTTTTGTTAAAAAAAAATAATTTTAAGTGAAAGAATAAAATAGTAAACAATATTAAGTCGTTATCGAATACTAAGAGTTAAATTTTATCAGAGAAAAGCCTATCCAAACTGACGTACCGTTCTCATCCCAGAGTCTGAAGATGTGAGGGAAGTCCTGGGAGTTGAGGACCTCGTCAGGTACTCTGTCCAACTCGAGGAAGAAAAGTGGAGCGTTTTGTGGGTTGGGGAAATTCTCTTGTCTCCAGCCACTGTCGAACTCTTGTTTGGACACTGCACCGTCACCTTTAACGAAGATTTTTACTGTCATTCACAATCGAAATTGGTTTATTCTTTAGACTTTTTAATGGGTTTATTGTAGCTAAAAATAATCAAGTGGAATTTTATTTATATTCATGTCATTTGCAATACCATTACCTTTCATCTCAATAAAACACATTTAAAAATTTTGAATTATCACTCAAGCTATACGTTCCAAATCCACTTTTTCTTCTCATGCTATAGTTTTTTCCGTATTTGATCTAAGGCCTTAGCGTTGGAAATTTAAAAGGACTGTAAAATCTATTTTAAAATAAATAAAAATTGATACGTTTTTTTCTTCTCTAAATGACACGTTCTTACCGTCATCATCAAAGTGAAGCCAAAATCTGTTCAACTCAGCATTTGTGAGTTGGTTGTCAGTCCCGGCGTACTGGTTGAAAATTCTGTCCAAATTGCCACCCCCACCTCCTGGCTGAGCCACAACGCTTAAATTTTGAAAGAGACGAATGAATAATTTGAGAGCATGAATGTATTATTTTGTTCAACTGTCACAGTCAGCTTATATTTTTTTACACTTTGTTTAATTTAGAAAAAAATAATAAACTGAGGTAAATAAAAAGATACATTCTTGAACATCCATTTGTCCAAAGTAATAATAATATATGAATTTCCAATGAATACATTATTTTAGTAAACTTTTAAGTCATCTTTCACACACACAAAAAAGAAAGAAAATACGTTTACTTTGAAAACTTGCAATGAACTAAAAAAAAATTTTTTAAGTTACTGCCTACCAGGCAAAGAGAGCAAGAGCTGCAACGATGATGTTTCTCATGATGATGTTTTGGTAAGGTAACGCATTCGTTAACTGTTTGACTATATATAGGCAGGTGTGACCCCGATGGGGGTCATGGCATGTCAAGATAACTACTACGAGCAAAAGGCATGCACAATAGTATGCACAATTTTGACCCTAATTTAATCAGAACATATGCTGTCCACGTGACAAAGTACTCGGTAAAAATGTGTTAACAAATCAAATTAATTGTTTCATGCCAAATAATCATTTCATTTATTTCTTAACAATTTCTTCATTTTCGCACGTTGTAGTAAGCAACCCTTTAAGACAATGAGACATAATTACCGATATAATTACCCACATAATTACCCATATAATTTCCCATATAATTACACATATAATTACCCACAAAATTACCCACTTAATTACTCACATAAGTAATAATAATAATAATAATAATAAAAAAGTTTATTTCAAAAACACGCTTCATCCCCAAAGGCTCGAAGCGTGGTACAAAGTAAATAAAAAAATATAAAAAAATTATTGACCACATTTAAAACAAACGCAACACTACAAAAACTAATTCCAAGCATACAATGTCAAAGTCTTTCTACCCATTTCGACCATAAGCAACACAGCCATTATGCATTAAATGGAAAATATGGTAGACAATCATCCCAGAAGGTGTTTGCGAAATAGATGTGACTTTAAATCGGTTTTAAAGGACTCCAGTGTCTGATTGTTTCTGAGATCGACTGGGAGGGCGTTCCAAATTGTTGGACAAGCAAATGCGAAAGTGCGCTTTCCGTAAGTACCCATATTATTACCCATATCATTGCCCACATAATTCCCCACATAATTTTTAAGGCATGTATAATCTTATCATTATATTTATATTTCAATAGCAAACATATTTATGTTTAATATATGCAAAAAAGACAAGATTTTTGTCTTGAGAGGATGCCTTCTTTCTTTTTAAATTAAAACAATCAAATTCAATAGCATTAACATTTGATGCCAGATAAATCCAGTTCAGGAACAAAACAAAAAAAAAAAAAATTGAAAAATAAAGTAAAATACAATGGGTTTTTTTTCTCCAGAATATTATTACGTAAGATAAATG